ACGTGTAACAAGTGATTATGTAAATAAGGCTGAGTTATGTAGTATCACATACATGTGACAATTTTATACTGCATACTTGTGGTCAGATTTTACCTGAATAAAAAATCCAAATAGACAATATCTTGTGTTTAAGCCTGAGCACATTTAACATCCCCAATAACTTGTATGATCATGCCTGTAGTCTCCAGTTTGTTAGGATGAAGATCACGAGGTCCCCTGTCTTGTATGTTGATGTGTATAGCCTCCAGTTTGATAGAATGAAGAGGTCCCTGTCTTGTATGATCATACATGTAGCCTCCAGATTGATAGAATGAAGATGTCCCCTAACTTGTATGATGATGTCTGTAGTCTCCAGTTTGATAGAATGAAGAGGTCCCTGTCTTGTATGATAATGTCTGTAGCCTGCAGTCTGATAGAATGAAGATGTCCCCTGTCTTGTATGATCATGTCTGTAGTCTCCAGTTTGATAGAATGAAGATGTCCCCTAACTTGTATGATATTGTCTGTAGCCTCCAGTCTGATAGAATGAAGAGGTCCCTGTCTTGTATGATGATGTCTGTAGTCTCCAGTTTGATAGAATGAAGAGGTCCCCTAGCTTGTATGACAATGTCTGTAGCCTCCAGTTTGATAGAATGAAGAGGTCCCCTGTCTTGTATGATAATGTCTGTAGCCTCCAGTTTGATAGAATGAAGAGGTCCCCTAACTTGTATGATGATGTCTGTAGTCTCCAGTTTGATAGAATGAAGAGGTCCCCTAGCTTGTACGACAATGTCTGTAGCCTCCAGTCTGATAGAATGAAGAGGTCCCCTGTCTTGTATGATAATGTCTGTAGTCTCCAATTTGATAGAATGAAGAGGTCCCTGTCTTGTATGATGATGTCTGTAGTCTCCAGTTTGATAGAATGAAGAGGTCCCCTGTCTTGTATGATAATGTGTGTAGCCTCCAGTCTGATAGAATAAATAGGTCCCCTGTCTTGTATGACAATGTCTGTAGCCTCCAGTCTCATAGAATGAAGAGGTCCCCTGTCTTGTATGACAATGTCTGTAGCCTCCAGTTTGATAGAATGAAGAGGTCCCTGTCTTGTATGATAATACCTGTAGACTCCAGTTTGATAGAATGAAGAGGTCCCCTGTCTTGTATGATCATGTCTGTAGCCTCCAGTTTGATAGAATGAAGAGGTCCCCTAGCTTGTATGATAATGTCTGTAGCCTCAGTTTGATAGAATGAAGAGGTCCCCTGTCTTGTATGATGATGTCTGTAGTCTCCAATTTGATAGAATGAAGATGTCCCCTAGCTTGTATGATGATGTCTGTAGTCTTCAGTTTGATAGAATAAAGAGGTCCCCTAGCTTGTATGACAATGTCTGTAGCCTCCAGTTTGATAGAATGAAGAGGTCCCCGGTATTGTATGATAATGTCTGTAGCCTCCAGTCTGATAGAATGAAGAGGTCCCCTAGCTTGTATGACAATGTCTGTAGCCTCCAGTTTGATAGAATGAAGAGGTCCCCTGTCTTGTATGACAATGTCTGTAGCCTCCAGTTTGATAGATGTGTGTAAGTTTGATAGAATGTCCCCTGTCTTGTATGATGATGTCTGTAGCCTCCAGTTTGATAGAATGAAGAGGTCCCCTGTCTTGTATGATGATGTCTGTAGCCTCCAGTTTGATAGAATGAAGAGGTCCCCTGTCTTGTATGATGATGTCTGTAGCCTCCAGTTTGATAGAATGAAGAGGTCCCCTGTCTTGTATGATCATGTCTGTAGCCTCCAGTTTGATAGAATGAAGAGGTCCCTGTCTTGTATGATAATACCTGTAGCCTCCAGTTTGATAGAATGAAGATGTCCCCTAGCTTGTATGATAATGTGTGTAGCCTCCAGTTTGATAGAATGAAGAGGTCCCCTGTCTTGTATGACAATGTCTGTAGCCTCCAGTCTGATAGAATGAAGAGGTCCCCTGTCTTGTATGATCATGTCTGTAGCCTCCAGTTTGATAGAATGAAGAGGTCCCCGAGCTTGTATGATCATGTCTGTAGCCTCAGTTTGATAGAATGAAGAGGTCCCCTGTCTTGTATGATGATGTCTGTAGTCTCCAATTTGATAGAATGAAGATGTCCCCTAGCTTGTATGATGATGTCTGTAGTCTCCAGTTTGATAGAATAAAGAGGTCCCCGGTATTGTATGATAATGTCTGTAGCCTCCAGTTTGATAGAATGAAGAGGTCCCCTAGCTTGTATGATAATGTCTTTGTATGATAATGTCTGTAGCCTCCAGTCTGATAGAATGAAGAGGTCCCCTGTCTTGTATGACAATGTCTGTAGCCTCCAGTCTGATAGAATGAAGAGGTCCCCTAGCTTGTATGATAATGTCTGTAGCCTCCAGTTTGATAGAATGAAGAGGTCCCCAGTCTTGTATGTTCATGTGTGTAGCCTCCAGTTTGATAGAATGAAGATGTCCCCTGTCTTGTATGATGATGTCTGTAGCCTCCAGTTTGATAGAATGAAGAGGTCCCCTGTCTTGTATGATAATGTCTTTAGCCTCCAGTCTGATAGAATAAAGAGGTCCCTGTCTTGTATGATAATACCTGTAGCCTCCAGTTTGATAGAATGAAGATGTCCCCTAGCTTGTATGATAATGTGTGTAGCCTCCAGTTTGATAGAATGAAGAGGTCCCCTGTCTTGTATGACAATGTCTGTAGCCTCCAGTCTGATAGAATGAAGAGGTCCCCTGTCTTGTATGATCATGTCTGTAGCCTCCAGTTTGATAGAATGAAGAGGTCCCCGAGCTTGTATGATCATGTCTGTAGCCTCAGTTTGATAGAATGAAGAGGTCCCCTGTCTTGTATGATGATGTCTGTAGTCTCCAGTTTGATAGAATAAAGAGGTCCCCGGTATTGTATGATAATGTCTGTAGCCTCCAGTTTGATAGAATGAAGAGGTCCCCTAGCTTGTATGATAATGTCTGTAGCCTCCAGTTTGATAGAATGAAGAGGTCCCCTAGCTTGTATGATAATGTGTGTAGCCTCCAGTTTGATAGAATGAAGAGGTCCCCTGTCTTGTATGACAATGTCTGTAGCCTCCAGTTTGATAGAATGAAGATGTCCCCTGTCTTGTATGACAATGTCTGTAGCCTCCAGTTTGATAGAATGAAGAGGTCCCCGGTCTTGTATGTTGATGTGTGTAGCCTCCAGTTTGATAGAATGAAGATGTCCCCTGTCTTGTATGATGATGTCTGTAGCCTCCAGTTTGATAGAATGAAGAGGTCCCCTGTCTTGTATGATAATGTCTTTAGCCTCCAGTCTGATAGAATAAAGAGGTCCCTGTCTGGTATGATCATGTCTGTAGCCTCCAGTTTGATAGAATGAAGAGGTCCCCTGTCTTGTATGATAATGTCTTTAGCCTCCAGTCTGACAGAATAAAGAGGTCCCTGTCTTGTATGATCATGTCTGTAGCCTCCAGTTTGATAGAATGAAGAGGTCCCTGTCTTGTATGATAATGTCTGTAGCCTCCAGTGTGATAGAATGAAGAGGTCCCCTGTCTTGTATGATAATGTCTGTAGTCTCCAGTTTGTTAGGTTGAAGTGGTCCCTGTCTTGTATGATGATGTCTGTAGCCTCCAGTTTGATAGAATGAAGAGGTCCCTGTCTTGTATGATAGTGTCTGTAGTCTCCAGTTTGTTAAGATGAAGATCACGAGGTCCCCTGTCTTGTATGATAATGCCTGTAGTCTCCAGTTTGTTAAGATGAAGATCACGAGGTCCCCTGTCTTGTATGATAATGTTTGATAGATCATGTATGATTTCAGTGTATTGTACATAACTTAAACCTTTGGATTCTGACAAGATGGACATCTTTATCATTTATTCTGAATATTTCATTCCATGAAAAGGAAAGAAAAAAAATGACATGTCATCATAATCTTATTTCAAATTCAATGAAATTAGGGGAGAATATGAACAAAAGAAAGACTCCTGAGTCTTTAATAAATACAAGAACAATAAGACCAGACATTCCAGAAGAGTAAGCATCTACTGCTTCATCTGCAACTTGCAGTGTACATCTGCATTTTGCTATCCACCTGATGTTATGACTTTACATAAATAAAATCAAAAATAAGAAAAGAAACTTAATGTGATAGTTAGCTCTTGGTATCATTTTAAAGCACATTAAACATTTTGTTTTAGTGATCAAGAAAACGATCATTTTATTTTCAAAAAGCCTTAATTTACCTCGGATTTATCTACCTTAGTCTTAACTTTTCCTAATGAATATGCCAACCAACACATTTCATATCTCTTTCTATCTTGCTGTTTGGGGAATGTGCTATGGATAGTTTGAACAAATTGAAAGCTTATTGAAGCTGTTGTTGCAGTACCAGTTACAATATTTATTTGGGTATTTTATAGGCTCAAGTACTTACATGTCGTTTTCCAGGGTTCAAGATACAAATACAAGTAGTATCTACTAGGTCTCTGAGATGACAGTCTGTTTAACAACTGCAGCTTTCACTCAGATCTTTATAGGTGTTTATGTATGTCATTTCCTGGTAATAGATACAACTAAATACTTGGATGTGATCACAGTATTGCTCTGCACTATAAGGTTAGGGTAAATGATTGAAGATTTTTACAGGGCTTTCAGTTTTGAATCTGTTTATTGGTACATAATTCAGTATGTGATTCCCCCTCCCCCCTCCCCTTCCCTACAATTGATAATACACATACTTAAATATAAAGCAGAAATTAAGATATATACATGTACAGGTAAATTTGCTGTAATTAATTTTGATGAAACTATTTTAATGTCATTATCATTCAGTTTGATATGCGAGACAAACAATATTGTGATAAATTCTGATCTTTTGTAGTCTAACAGATATTCTTGTAGCTTTGTAACTCTGTGAAGATTCCATGTCTGTTTCATTGTCACACCAAAACTAGAATACTGAGACTATCACTGATTGAATGTTGATTCACTGTGAATTCTGATCATGGTCTGTTTTTCCTTTAGGTCCGAGGGTCACTCGCCATGCCAGCTTTCTCCATCTGGGCCATGGTTACAGACAGAAAAAAGGTAGGTCATGTTGGATACATGTTGTACATAATCATCTATATTTGTGACCTTTCCATGGAGTGAAGACATGATCGCAGTTTTACCCTGTATTTATTGAAGATAATGAAATAAAAGATGGGAAAAGCGTTGTATTATAGAAAATACAATTGCGAAACAAGCTACCAGCTTATACTGTATTATCAGAATACATTATATGAGGAAGATCACAAGATTATTCAAGTTAGCATAATGCAATCTGTTGGAATATTTTCAGTTCAGATTAATTGCTCTTGATGTCAGAGTGATTTATTTCAGTCACATTTGTTGAATTGCAAGTATTGCCCAATTCAGTGCATGTTTTGTTTCATGGTCTGCTTGACTCTGCAGTTCATTTGCATATATGATTAACATAAGATGTTGACCTTTGTTATTCAACTTTCTGGTGGTGATCAACATTGTTGTACCTTAGAGGATGGTACACATGTGGCAAAACGAAGGAGATAAATCTAGGATACCGTACATAATGACACATATTTGTCACACATATGACTTTTTATATCCGTGTTGAGTAGAGATATGGAAATATTTCCTACAAGTTTATGTATATTACACACATTCGTTACTGGTCAGTGTTTTAACTGTTAGGACAGTTGTGTCGGTGTGATATACAAATTGTATCAGGTATTTTACCTGTTTGTTCATACCTGTACTCATGTGCCTGTGCATTGCAAGGACACTTATATAATAAGGTCTTTAGCTGAGGGAAAACATTTAATGATTAATAATGGAACTGAGAGTGAAAATTCCATATTTTGGTACCACTTGACTGAATTGATAAATGAAATATGATGTGTTACATTTACAAGCGTGTTCATAAGTAACATATTCTAAACCAAAATTAAATATGCCAAAAGCCAAATTAAGATGAATCAGTTATATTTATTTTTTTTGTCTGTTATTCCCTTAAAATCATATCTAAAACTTAGTATATATAAATACTTCAATAATGGTCACTACAGTAGTTCACTGACCTTTCAGTTGTATGAAGTGACCTCTGCTAATTGATAGTTTGACCCCTACACAGCCAACCTGCTGCCATACCAGTCACTTGCCATCCATCATCAACTTGTCTTCCTGTGTTTGAACTTCTGAAACAGTTCACTGCTTTCTGCACTAACAGGAAAATTAAGATAAATTAAAAAGTACTTCATCAGAGCTCATAAACTTCTACTGCCAGTTCTTAAAGATTTTCAAAGGTTGGTGTGTTATAGGAGATGATGCTAAAAATAGTATTGCATGCAGTTGAGTATCATGTATAGAATATCTTAAATGAGTTTTCATTTCATATGACATTTCACGAAACAAATCTCTGAAGGGTTTTTTTGAGGGGGCCTTAAAGGCAAGCAAAAATTTTAAGATTCCTGCAAGACTTGTGTAATAAAAGTTACATTTTCACACATAGTGACGCCCCAGGGTATAGCATTTAGTGACATGTACACAAAAATATTACGTGGAGAAGTCACAGGATAACAGACAAATTTTGTGATAGAGATATTTATGGACATTGCAAGACAACTGACGTAGAAAGAAAAAATTTGATTTGTGTCGTGTCAGGACCTTTAACTCACGATCTACAACTCCAAGCCAAGAGCCTAACCATTACACCATCACAACATCTCAGAAATATCTTATACATGATACAAACACCTGGATCGCAATGTATTTATGGATCCAAATTGTATTCATAATATAACATATATGACACCCAATAAATAATGCACATATTGCATATAGAAGTATGTTTATAATTTGATTGGACAATCAAATGTGATGTTGCATCTAGAACAGCTATTTTACATACCTAATAAATCATATGTTTCAAACCAAAGCTGAATATAGATTTTATCGTCTGTACTGGTTGTATATTTAGAATCCTAGATACTGGTAATGACATGTCACCTTTTTGGAATGCTGATAATTAAAATATCTTCTAGAAATGTATAACAAAAGTTCTAGATACTATAGGTTTGTTTTCATAGAAAAGTTTTGTAGCAGTGTTCAAGATACCGTAATTTTGCTTTCATAGAAAAGTATTGCAAGAGTTCAAGAGACCATAGATTTGTTTTAATAGAAAAGTATTACCTATTCGTAGAAAAGTGTTACAAGAGTTCTAGAGACCATAGTTTTGTTTTTATAGAAAAGTATTGTAAGAGTTCTGGAGACTTTCCCTGACCATCTTTCCTTGTTTTGTTGCGTTACAGATCCTCAGTAGTAGATTATATATTCAGGATGTTGATTAAGGTGTAATTCTAACTGTTATTGGGTGTAACCTTGACTGTCATTTACCTATACTGTTTATCTACATAGTGAGCTGTCATCTTGTCGGCTCTGGTCTTATAGAGCAGGTTATTGGGTGTTTACTGATGAGTGAGATTAAAAACATTGATTTAGGCTTTGGACAAATATGTTGTCAAATATACAAAATTATTAGGATAAACAGTTACAAGGTTTTTTAAGATGTTAGAGAGAGAGAGAAGATTTTCATCATTAGATAAAAGGATGAGAAGTTTAAAATGTCATATTGAGGAGCCAGTATTTCAAATGATTTGTTTGATGACCTAAGTTCCAGAAGTGTAAGTGACCTTCATTCATGTGAGGTCATCGCATTAACACAACAAATTCTCTTGTGATGTAAAATTATATGTCTCTCTCTGAGATTCATTTCTCCCTGAAGACAGATATTGTTGAACTGAATGCTAGTGTAAACACAGGCTTTGTATCTGAGTAAAAGAAAAACATATAGATAGACAAGCAGTTAACTAGCCACTGGCACCAATGTGATACTTTGCATATCATATGATGAAGATACCTTCAGGATACCAGCATATCCATTGTATATTTAGATGTGATATTCAACAACTCAATCTTTATGATCACACACTTCAGACCACTTGCTGTGAAAAGAATGTGTCATGACAGACTATCTGTCCTTTAAGGCTGTTTGTAAGGAAAAACTACCTTTTATAAGAGACCACTTGTTTCGAAAGGCCACTTAATTGCCATAAAGAACTTTCGACAGATAATTTGTCTTGTATCTTTCATTAAAATATGTAATCATGTTAGAAAATTGTCATAAGAAACATCAAATCTGTTTAAACAGAAATAATGTATATTTTATTAGACACCTTAAGAGAATTCATGGCTAAATAAAGACTACTGCATAGTATGTAACAGACCAATTGGCTTCAGAGAATACATAGCTACCAGTTACTAAAAGCTACTGTATAGACCAGTTGCTATAAGAGAATGCCTGTCTGAATAGATTTGCAATTAGAGCCTGGATTGTCCCAGTCATTAAATCAGAATACTCCAGGGACACCTGTCTTGAGAGACCACCTGTCTTGAGAGACCACCTGTCTTGAAAGACCACTTGTGGTTTGAGACTTAACGAAATAATTCCCTACACAATACAAGTGACCATGTGTCATGAATCTAAAAGACAGGTCAGAATAACAGGTTAGCTAAATATTATGTTTAGCACTGAATTCCTGGTGGAAAGTTCTGACAACTTACAAGGGTCATTGACAAGTTATTTGACAAGGCTGAGTGGTGAAGTGCCCTGTAGGTAGACTCGGCTCACCTGCCATGCATGTAGTTCTCTGATAAACAATATCTCCTAAAAGAAAAATAATTGTTTATAGAGCTATCATTTCTTCAAATTATGAAATTCAGCAATTTATTTAGGTTCCAGTTGATAAGGACAACTAAATGTTAAATTTTACGATGTTTTAAATGTTTTAAACTTTAATTCATCAAAATACTAAAATTTTTACACTTCTCTTTAATTAGTAACAGCATTTGTGGGTATTTCTTCATATTTTTGATTTGACATGGATTTTTATTTGGATTCAAGATATGACATTTAACTGTAATGTTATATTATATGACTTTAGAGCCTGGCATATGTAGCATTGTCCTTTCACAGTAGTAAGATAAACTACCCTCAGCTGACCACGAATCACCTTTGACCCAAGTGTATCTATATGGTGCAAGACACTGATGTATATAAATGTCACATAGATCCCTATTAGGGATTAAGAATTATGACAGGTATATTTTGCGGATCAAGTTGGCTAACTAAGGATGACCACATCAAGGAGCGCACCAGGTGCAGTGGTCAGTTATGAATGCATTAAGTCAAACCTGACCAGGAGACCATAGTTATCCTGACAGGTTGTACTTAATTTGGAGACTCCTTGACTCGCTAATGTTGATGGTCACTAGTTAAGACTTGTGCACTGTAAATAGAAATTCTAAACTTATGGGTATAAAAGGAGTCATGTCGTTGTGATTTAAGTTTTAAACGATTTTGTCAGGAGGTCTGGACTTCCTTTCATTTCGTCACATTTTCTTTCCTAAAGTTTACTGGACAGTGTTCAACTTTCACGTGTACTTTTTACTCCTGGAACATTAATATTACCGGTCAAAATTACCTGTTCTCAGACATAATAACCGTGAAACTTTGGATTTGTGAACAAGGATATTGGAAATATCTGTTCTCAGACATAATAACCGTGAAACTTTGGATTTGTGAACAAGGATATTGGCAATACCTGTTCTCAGACACAATAACCGTGAAACTTTGGATTATTTGTCTCTCTTGTGAGTGTTAAACTTTGAATTTTAAGTATTTACAGGATTCAGAAAAGTACACCATGGATATTTGACAGACAAATAGACTGCATCCAAAGTTCTTTGTAAATTGAAGATAACTTTGACCCAAGGATCAGACATCTCGGGCATGAATCAACCACATCCTGGCTTCTCTGTGGTCGAGATGTAGTTTCTATTTTTTTATTTTGTTTTTCCCATACTTATTTGTAATTCGACAAGAAAAATCTTGAGGTTAGGAACCTTTTTATCCTGATTAGAGAAATACAAGACGTTCTACATCTCTTCTGATGGTGCTACATGTTCATTTGAGATATATGAAGACTGTTGAATGATAATAGTGTACTCCA